CACACACCTGACGCGAATGATGTTCGAGGGTACGATAGAACACTGGAGAGAGGGGTAAAGGTCAACGCTAGTGGTTTGTCTTGTCGCAGTGTAACGACACGATAAACTAGTCCAAATGCAAGCGATTCGAGGGGAGGATGTCGTTGGCGTCATTGGTTTTGGGGAACGCGATTTGTGCGGACACGAGAAAGGATGGCGATGAGTTGGTGCAGTGGTGGCTTTCGTCGGGGGCGATTTAGAATGGATGGATGCTGCAGCAAGGAGAGGGACGGCAACCGAATGGACTAGTTCAACGGAGCTGCCAAGGCAAGGCGGTGAGCTTCGACCAGAAGCAGCAGCAACGAATGAATGAATGAATGCACACTCGACAATGTCTGAATGACAGATTCACCACTTAGGGCAATGGATACGCTGGGAAAGTGTCCACATCGCACACGGCTACAGTAGGTAAGCTATCACAGAATATAATCGTCAGGACTGATAGTGGAGTGCTTACTATTGAAGTTTTCAAGTGGGGTGTCGTGGTTACCAACACGGTGGTTCAATGAACATAGCTGACTTGGGACACTCGTGCCTGGGATGCTTTGGCACGCAAACCTATCGGAAGATCGGTCACGACAGGTGGCAAGCATGTCCAGATTGAATTTGAAAGTTGGTGCTGTCAGGTCAGTCGACGTGGAAATCTCCGAGTATGTCCTTCAATTCACTTACGAGGTCGTGAACTGAAGTACGTGCGTGGCCTTGTCCTGGACACGTACGTATGGGCGCCAGCAGTAGCAGTTATGAGCTAGGATATACCATCACATAGGTCGAATGAAAAGATGCATTTGCCTGATGAATAGCCATACAGTGGGCACTATCGGCCACAGTCTCAACTTACACTTCTGGTAATGCAGTTTTCAGGTGTTACCCACATGAAAATGGACTAGTTGTCCATTTGGCAAAGGGACATGTTACCGTTCCGTCTAACCCTATTGGACGTTGAACACAAATCGACGAATCGAATCACGAATCGACGCTATTGGCTAATCCAACTTTTGAGTGGATTTCATTGGTTCTTACAGAATGGACAAGTATAGCCAGCCAATCAGAACTCCAGCGTGATTAGTCAAATTGCTTGTTACGAAAACCACATGATATTTGTTTATCAAGGTTTTGTTATTCTTATACTCCGTACAGTAGTACAGAATGTTTGTTGATTTGGATAATATTCCTCAAACGTTAATAAATTTACGTCAAACGAAGCCCCAGTACAGTACAGTAGCGCAATTTTATGCGCATAGTACAGTATTGATTTCAAAACTCTTTCCCCCGACAAGAATGATATCATGTTTAGATTTCAATCATGCTTAACTGCATTACCGTACTCAATACGTTAAGGGCTCATATCCTTTGCCAACTACTCTGATGAAGGTCATTCCAGGCTGTGGTTGACTTATGAGTGTCCTTGGGGAATTCCGTGATAACTAGGTTCGACGAGGTTATGGTAGTTAGCGTGGTGTTGCAGGACGGCTGCTATCCATTTCGCAGCCAGCGTTTTCAGAATCTAATAGTGCGGATCGTAAAACAAATATATGTATTTGGCTGAGAATGTTGCAATTGTCCAGGTTTTTGGAGGATCACGTTTCAACACGGCATGTCTAAGCTCCAGCCGACCGATAAATCATGGAAAATAGACCAGTAAAAACTGAACTGCCAACGTTCTACTTATTGAGTCTATGAATCCCAATCCATACCCATCCCCTAAGCAATGGGGTAGCTGTATGTTCATCAATCGAATGGTACTGAACGTCGGACCTACCCATACCTATGTTCATTAAGGTAAACCATCAATATCACAAACTCTTTTTGTGCACTAAAATGTCAAATGTTTGAAGCATTCCACCTCAAAAACTCCGTCGAATAAAACAAAATTAAGGGTGCGTTGGAAAGTATAAATTCAGCTACACTTTTTTAGTGCCAAGAAATGCCTGAAATATCCTAACGATGTATTTGGAATAACAACGTAACGTCAAAGAATTGGCGAAACATTATTGGCTTTGCATTTCGCGAACGATCGTAATAGCTTAGTTTTGTATGAATTATGGAATAGTTATTTACAAAATATAATACCTGGCATATGAACACTATTCTACATTAGATTTGAATGCATTATAATGAAATGCAATTTGAAATTTGTATTGGACAATATAATAATGAACATAGTTTTGAACTTCAAGATGTTCTCCTGTTCCTTTGGCTGAATATAATCATATCCAATGTAACGTCCTCATTCGAGAATGAAGCCGTTGGATTGGATAAAATGACAACCGTTCGCAATATTGGTGGTTTACCTAGGTGTGGAGTGGCAACGGACATTTAGCAGCATTACTTTTGAGGGGATACTAGGGAGTCCGAGTGCAAGACCTTGGGATACTTCCCTATTAATTATAGATACCAGCTATAATGTCAACTTATACTTATGGTATTTACTATGGAAGGTGCTGCAATGCGAGAACGGCCAGTGGATGATGAGGTAGACTTAAATTCACATGCAGCAGTTGACATTATCGAACCAAGCAAAGTTCAGCCCACCGGTTCATCACAACAGGTCTGTATTATGAGTGAACTGTTTGAGTTACGAACAAACATAATCCCACAGTAATGGTATCGATGAGAAGGTAACCACAACCGTCACGAAGTTCCTCTAATACCTCATACATTCTGAATATTTAGATTTAAGCTCTCAACAAAATTAATAACATTTTCAAATCAATACTCATTTTTAGATTATTATAGATTCGTTTGTCATATAAAAATTTCGATTTATTTTATCTAAAATATGGACCGAAAAATTATATACTACCTTTATCGGTATTTCTGTTTTGAATAAATAAATAATATATATATTTATAAAACAAATCTTTATTTTTTTTGATATTTAGAAAAAATACTTCGAAGTGTAAAAGAAAATAAACATAACGAATTTGCAGAGTCCTGCATTCTTATTCAACAGGCGCTACCTCAGTCTCTAAATTTAATAGATGCTATACTATTAAAAACAGAACCTTTCTTTCGAAGTGTTTATCGATGAATTCATCTTTTGAATACAAAGCTATAAAAAAGGAAACTCCAAAGCTTCAATAGCCAGGCAAGCATGACATCACTTCGGAAATCAATCACGTCACGGCATAGCTCCATTGATCAAATGTACTCAGTCAGCATACCACACTGAATTTCACGAGGCATAGTTGAGTAACAATCATGTTCGCACCATAATTCGCAGGAATACTCGTGTTTTCCGGTACCGGTAGTTGTCATGAGAACGCTCCAACAACAAGACAACTTGTCAATAAAGCATCTTCAACTCCTTACTACCTCACAGTAATTTGCCTACCAGTTATGACAATAATGATGCTTACAGACGAGCATATATATTGTTGTGCGGTGCTTTGACAAGTAAAACATGCACACTACCTCGGATACTGTAGTAATAGATGTGATTATGTGATACACTTGCACTTGTTGCACTACAGGTAGTTGATATTGTCGCTCCACACAATGCAAGAACAACTCTGCTCAGTCACGAAATGTATTCAAAAAAGCGCACCGGGAGATCAATATGAGCGGGCAGTCACTACGGTAGTATTGGACGGGAGGTCACGTGACACCTTCTGACGGGACGAGAGCAGACTTCTACCAGGGGAAGTTGGACAGTCGCAACTACAGAATGAGAACTGTCAACCATAAAATATGACTAGTGACAGCTCAGTTTGGAGTGTGATATTTCAATGGGGTGGATACACAGGGAACGCTGATTTCGTGATTTGCTGTCGTGTTGCAGACAACGAATGAGCTTTTTCAACTCACCCGACCAGATTGCGTGTGTAGGTCGATAATATCATCTGCCACGAGCATTTAAGCCTTTTAGCAGCAACCAACGATATCATCAGCTGAATCATGTTTGAAATCAATCGTACATGACACGGGCAAGGTCATATGTGTATTCGAATGAAGCGTACATCTAGTGACAAACTGTACACAACTAATGCACAGCGAACCCACTGATTGTAGAACAAAACGACAAGAATGCAACCACGATAGGATTCACTACGACCTAGTCAGAGATGCAATGTGCTACCGACTTCAATTTCCAACCGCCAGTCGCGCACCAATGCCGAAACATGCTACTACTATCGTGTCATGCTAAATATTATTGTCTGTCCATGGACAACGGTCGTGACGCATATAAATTACGCTAAACAACCGAAACGTATCGCAAGGCATGTTTACAATATAAACAATTCAACCGACGTTCAAAGCGGACAGCAACAAACCATCAAAACACGCAAGACAAACCTACCGCACGTTAGGCAAGGGCTGCAAACATGTTTCATCATGAACGAGATAAATATATTCAATACGCCGCGTCCACCTAACAATAATGCCGTCAGATTCCACGTACATTTGTTGGTGTTGGTCTCGTTAACGAACTTTCACAGACTACCAGCACATACTAAACGGACTACACTATGGTTTCAATATACCGAGCAAAGACTGCAGGTTTGAGTGCCAGGTCAGTCGCACAACACCAAAGTAGTTTAGGTATCTGTGGTCGAAAGTCGCTTGTTGCGTCCCTGGTAGGAGAATGAGGGTGTCCTTGCAGATATCCTCATGACTTTGCCTAGGCAAATGAATGTGAGGCCAAATATAGTACAAGGTGACAAACCACGTGAAGTGGCATTGAAAAATGATGTCCACCACGCGAGTATGGGCCAGGCAAAGTGAAAATGGACAAGTTGTCATCGTGATGGGGCGACAAGTAAAACATGCATTCCGAGTTGGATGCTGTAGTAATGGATGAGATTCTGTGATATATGCAGTCTGGATATACAAGTACATACAGTTGGAAATTATCACGGTTATACTGTGTAATAGTATGAAAAATGACGAACTCAGAATATTGACATATACAGGTATTAAATATACAGAGTATACATACAATCATAAGCAAGTTTACGGTGCTGCTGAAAAGTCCTCCCAGACAAGGTTCGGTGGAAACCAGCTTTTGTTGTCGACCTGCGCCGCCCTGCGTTTGGAGACAACACGCACGACCTGACACCCCAAATGGGCACGACAATCTCGTTAGCAGCAACAAGGTACATGAAATATATGCCAGCAATTCGTGAAAGTTGCCATTAAAACGTTTGTCGAGTTTGCATCTATGGTTGTCTAGACCAATCGTAGTTACCCTGAACGGGGTAAATATGATAACGAAGTTGAAAGACTGCCGCAAGCTGTACCTTGCAAACTTATCTCATGGAATACTGACGCGATATACGTGGGAAACCTTCAAAGTGATAGTATGGCGGAATTTCGATATAAAAAGCTCCCTAATACAAGGGGAATACCCCTCCCGAATGAGATGTCATAGACAGTCCATGCATACGTGTCTGCCTCAAAGCCCAAGAACTTTGCAATCAATACGACACCAACTATGGTACGTCAAGACAACTGTGGACGAGTTACATATCGTTCAGTTGAAGTCATGTGACTGTACAAGAAACACCGATACCCCCTGCAATATGTGTCGTCAATTATCGGGTATGTTGGAACCAATGGGTTGTATGCGTTAGTTCCTGAACAAGACGCTTCAACGTGAGAATCATCATGGAATCTAAAAGTATTTCTTCTCATTATTGGACTCAATGCGATATATTCTGCTCCGACACGTAGTTTCACTCCTGCATCACGTGTGGGAGGCTAGTGTTTCAGTTGTTATGTTGTCGTCGAGAACAACCATATCCGTTTTCAAGGTATAAACATTACCGTGGGACGTCTTGAATGAAATATGTTGATGGTTAGGATGACTACAGCAATGGCAGCACCACCGCCGGTCTTTGCTTCCTTCCGTACTTCAGGAGCCTTCAGAACCCTTGTATGTGCTAAGTGGTCAGAAATCGATGTCGGCAAACTAGTTCGTTACACTCGTACAATTATGGGGTGCTCAATCGAATGAGCAGACCAAATCGGCAGACTATCGATGGACCAATCAAAACCCAGATCAAGAAGAAAGTAGCCAATCAATTTCACTGTTCGACATTTCAACATCGATTTAGTGCGTGAATTAAATTTGTGTGAAACTGGACGATCTTTCAAAGAAATTCGACAAATCGATCGATAGATTTGCCGAATCAGCACAAAAGTCCAAATTTTGGGTAAAAGAAAGACAATAACCGGAGATTGATGAATCGATGCAATTTTCTGAACAGGGGATGGAAGGATGAAATATTATCATCACTGTGCTACCCCATCGCTACCTCGATGAGTGTTTTCGATGTGCTAAAGTGGTGTAAGGTTATAGTAACAACAATGTGTATTGCCTAGTGATTATGTAACTCTCCAGCTTAATGTGTGTTTCCTAACGTTACAAAATCAACGTTACGTCACTGAGCTTGTGCGATTCCTTGCAAACGCTAATATGTCTTTGGTAGTGAAGTGTCATATTGTGCGTACCACCGAGTATTGTAATACCGATGCCTTGAACGTGTTCTCCATCGTATTTGCGTTTGGAGGGCATCAGAGAGAGTTCAAGACGCCGCTTTTAGGGTTTTCGAATACCTACGGGTACAGCCGTAGGGTAAGGTTGGTATAAACATGTATTTCTTTTGAGTGGCTGTATTGTGGCTAATACATGGCATCCCGGTCAATTGTATCCCGGTTCTGACTTGTCCAGAACATAATATTATTCCACTTATGGGACAAGTACATAGAGTGATCGTCACAACCATCCTTGCAGGACATGTCTGTCGTCATCAGTAATGATTAAGCCTGGAGAAAAGCCGAAGTCCATTGGTAGGCAGGATATATCGGCCCTACATCAGCGCAGCGGCCTTCTTCTTGGCATCGAGCTGCTGCAACGTGTTGGCTTTTACTCGATGGTACTCAGAGTGCAGCGTGCCACTGCATTTGGTCGTTTGGGTTATACAATTGTATTGGATATGCTATTAATACTAGTACGTATCATAGGCATTGGGGGTTGCTCGTACACTTAGGAATCGTTCAATGTGGCCTAGTCCCATGCTATTCCTCGCTTTTGGTCTGTCCAAATTAACTGTCGTGCGCAGTATTCACCACGTTGTCCACTGACTGTCCTCGCAAGCGGTGGAACTAATTGACGAGCACTTGACTAACGAGTTTATACTGAGCAACTTTGCAATGCTGCATCCTCCACAGTCATTTTACCTCGACATAATGGTTTGGCACTATCACGACTTCTCTGTACGAATTTCCCTACTAAAATGGTGCAGCTCAAAGCTGGGTCATACTAGAAGTACTTAATAGCTCCAACCAAAGCAGAGAAGTAGAAGCCTTTCGTGTTATAAACTGCAAGTCGCCTTTCGAAAGAGCATTTCCAGACTGTGCAATTTAGCCACATCATTTATTTTCGATTTCACATGGAATGTCAGTTGCTGGTTTTTCGAATCAAAAATTATACCACTAACTTCCACATTATTCATAGCCATGATATCTGATTATACCTCCAAACAATGACGAACAGCAGCCTTTTTTTGATACCATTGACCCTGACCCTGCATTCTTGTTTGTTTTCTCATGGTAATACTGAAATAGTAGTTTTACCTAAAACTCTTTCTTTGCCCGTACAACAAATATGTCGGCTATGCAACTGGTTCTATTTTCGATATTCAATATTAATAATAGTATTGTGCCTCTGGCCCCTCATTTCAGATTCTGTTAGAATCGGAAAAGTAGTAGGTTCATAATTTCCGAAAATCGACCTAAAAAACGAAGGGTTGGTCTGGATCACACCCCAATTTTTGCTAATATTTCAAAAAATTGGTTCAAAGTAATTCGAAGAATTTGGTTGTCACCTATTTTTGACTGTCTGGATCAAACTGATTTCAAAAGAAAAGAAAATCTACGATTCTCAGTTCTTGCCAACTTTGAGAACAAAAAGCCCCTTGAACGTCTTTTCTATTTTTTGCGAAAATGCGATATTTGGCAAAAATATTGAATTCTCCAAATTTTGGGTCCAGACAATATTTTTTCCTTTTTTGCCGATTTCTTAGATATTTCCAGAATATCGAAGATATTGTCCTTTTTTGACATTCAGACTCACCCTAAAAGCAAAAATCATCAATGCTGGTAATATTGCAAACGAATAAAGATAATATCTTCAATACTAGTGACAATTTCTGGTGTGTGGCCCCACTCACATATCTTATTAAACGATTAGAGCAAGGTTTGCCCGAGTATTCTTTGCTGTACCACGATATGATGGTACAATACCTTAACATGTTGCGGCATATACATTATACCACCTATTGATCACCATCACATAGATAGGCAGCACGAAGTACTGCCGAGAATAAGGTGATCTATGTAATGTCTGCCCAAACATGCAATTTGGCAGCAAATCATAATCATGAAATGAAAATGATTGGTCAAAATTTGGTGCTCTTGTTTCGTATACCTGTAGCCTTTAATATTTTGTCTTCACTGACAAGTCATATAATTTCATGATTACAATAAGTTCTAAAAATGAATACCTTTTACACTGTATATAGATTACTATTAAGAGGTTCTGAGAATTTCGGAGGCCAAATCTATCATACATTATTCAAGTCAAACACCAGGGCGGAATTTACATTTACATAACGTTAGGAAAATTACAGAATTGAGAAATTCTTGAGCAATACAACGATGGGTCCTGCATAAACTAATAAAGCTTTGAGAATGCATGTTTTTGCAGACTGCACTTACGAGACAACATGAACCAACCTTACAGTTAGTCGTATGATAGAGTGAATCACATGTACTGGACTGCTCGACTTTGAAGAAACAATCCAGTTGCACACTAAGGAAAACTCAGTATCATCTAATCACTAGTGGGGCCTTACATCTAACTTTCTTCAAAATCCTCGAGCAAACACCCAAAACAGTGAAAAACTGCTTCGCAAGTACTATTACAATAACAGTAGAAATGCCGAGAGTTAGGTTATCTCACAGGTTACATATCTGTTGACGGATCAACAACGGTGGTTATCCCGTAGTACCTCGTGCTATGGACATGTTGACAAAGTTCCAAAGACCCCGAGCGTTTTGAATTGCGTCGATGGTGAGCTGACGTAATTATTTGTACACGTTATCGCCAATTGAAATCATCCAATGCGAAATCGTCCAACTCGACAAAGCACACTTACTGCCTTCATGCATACTAGTATAAATGATCACTACGTGCGAAGGAAAAGGTACATTAACGCTATACGGTTAACAAAGTTTTAGCTGTCGGTTATACGCCGACGGCGATACGAGCCAACAGAAAACGCGGGGGACGTCCACACCGCTACAACACGCAGGGCGTTGGGTGTACTTTGGTGCTCGAACGCATACGCCTAGGATTATACGCTTAGTTGTCATGAAACTTCGGGGTTTCACAGTTAAACGCGAATTTAAAAGTACATACTGTCCACACATGCAATTGCTCTCGACTTGTATGCGACGCTGTCGATGTCCATGAATAGGGCCATCCCATGACAACCTGTCGGTCACCGAGTTGCTGCGACGCTTGAAATGAATACACGACTTCATTTTCGTCGTTCTACTCGACAGAACGAATGACGAATACATCCAACGAGGGCTGACTTTTCAGTATTTTTTTGTATCTCAATTGTAGCCAGCCACCCAGCTACCTGCGTCGTTCCAGTAATCCAGTTCGAATCGTGATCTAAGGCATCCATGGCCACGCTGTCGCCGAGTTTCAAAGTCGATATCGCCAATTCCACTCGTGCAGCGACGATACACAAGCGGGGGTTGCCAAAGACGAGGCGGACATGCAGTGGTACGTTGCAGCTGTTGTACGGCATGTGGTGAGGGCAACAGTGCGGGAAGCAGCGCAGTTCTTTGCGCCCAAACGCTTTGTTCATTCTATGAAATATCGTCACCACCAATAATGACGCTATAGTGGGTAGTACGTACCTAAAATAGTCGGGCGAGAAATGTGGACTGGAGCAGTCGCAGATCGCAATGAACTCGAGGAGGGGGGCAGGAATCGACATGGACAAGGGTGGTTTCACCGCAATTGGAGCTTTGATGGCGATGGTAAATGGAGATGACTGGGCCCACCCCACAATCGCACCCCCCAGCACTAGATACGACTAACGGATAGTCGGATTCGAATGAGCTGGTTGGTTTAATAAAAGTGCTTTACTTTGAAAACGAACAAATTGTCGCTCTTGCACTGGTCCAGAACAAATCGAGACGCTACTGCGGCCACGTCCACGTCGAATAAACATTCCGATAACTACACGAACACCAGAGTGTTTGGCAAGGTGTACAAGTGTACTATATAATGTGCGTACAGGAGGTTCAGCTAACGCGCCGAATGTCCGCACTTGACGTCCTCTTGTGGTCACCAACACGTCTTTGTTTAGTGTAGCCGATGCATCTTGACCGATTTCCAGGCCACGCTGCTGGGCTAGTTCGACGCGGGAGTAACATGAAAATCCAGCCCGTTCGTCCTCGGTAAACCGCCCAGCCACGCGCATGACTAGGTTGCACGTGCAGCGCGAGGTCGTCACGTCCTTCGGTGCCGCACAACACTGTAGAAAGCACCGATGGCCCAAACTCACAAGATGTGTGGACGGAGGGGCTCCATCGAGGCACTCCCTAGCAACACAGAGTGAGGGTGTAGCTGCAGAGAGAATGAGCACACCACAAATACGTGGCATCGAAAGGGGCATTGCCACAGGGGCAGTCGCCAAACGTGCAAAACACTCGATGGCCAACCATGGCATCCGTCCAGCTGCTGGAAGAAGGCATGGACAACTTGGTCGATGGTAACACGTGCTTCCCGAAACTCGATTACTCGACCTGTACTGTACACTCACTCTGACCGTAGTACGTACTTAGACGATATACCGAAGTGAACAGTTCAGAACGACCCGCAACTTGAAACGAAGCGCATTCAAGTACAGGACATGGAACCGATATAATAGAGACAAAAACACGATTGACATAACGAACGGGTCTCTAATCCATGGTACAAGTGTACCAACAAAAAGCCTTATTCCAGAAGGCGCAACGTAACGACAACAGATTTGACATCGATTGGTGTAGGTAGCGAATGCTACTTCGAAGTACGTGTATTGAAAAGTTGCCTAGTTAAAGTACATACTACTGTGATGTCTGTGACACGTTGCCCCACTTTGAAGTGTCACTTCATAAATCAACACTGCTTCGAAGTACTACGTACCTATTTGTAGGAAATATAGCTTCTAAAAAGAAATGTGGGCAACAACACTTCCAGTGTATGTAGTACAGTACTGCAGCGCCAGCTGACAACAATTAGCGGTTTCGAAATCCGAAACTGACCAACCATTGACATCCCCCTCCTGTGGAAAATGAAGTCATTGAGGCTTCTTCGAGCACAAAGTTCCGGTCGATGAGCAAAAGGCTAAGGAGTTGCCAAGTTCGTCCCTCGTTGTCGCCTGAAATAGCAACCGGGGTAAGTTAGTTGAAATCTCCGATGGCCATTAATTATCAGAGTGTTGAAATCTGCGATGGCCATTAATTATCAGAGAACTAACTACTTTTGGCATCAGAATACTGTATCATGAGTTGGTTGGTATGTACTACAGTACTGTATTAACCTCTCTGTGATTGGCAGTGCTGTACAGTATTCATTCAAATCCAATAAAGTTGTACTGATTGCCGTACTTGTTTATACGGAAACGGTACCATAATATCGGGTGTGATTCTACCCTATCAAGTGGCAGCATTCCAAGCATTTCCTTCTTGTTATTTCATTCGTCGTGGAAATGCCGCCTGTAAATATTTTACTACAGGGCATCCTTTTGTGGCGGATTAGGGGTACCCCTTCATCATCTCGGTGTTACTGTACTGTATGTAGTACCTCCGAAGTTTGGTCACGAGATAGAGGTTGCTGTATTCTTTTACTAGTTAGCATACAGTACGGTAGCTCCCATTGATTGTATTTGCAAGCTGCGCAGTTGATATTTTGGCCAGATACATCTCTACGAGACGTCCAGAACAAGGCGAATTGCTTCCAATTGGGGAAATCGTCCCATCAAAAGTCACACGCTTCACATGTCGGATGGCCGAGTGTACAATCGAGGTTTTCAGTGACCACTGGATGACGTAGGTTAGTGGCACATCATTACATTGCATGGCACGGCACCGTACTATAGTGACTAAACGATGACTACAGTACGACTCTTGCGCGCACATATAATAATGAGAGGAGGTGAACATTCGAAAAAATTGTCCGACTACAAACCGTTAGCAACTTTGGTTGTCTCCCTAGGACGATAGGAGTTTCGTTGAAACTCCGCAACCGTTCAGTTGTTAATTTTCAATTATTTGAATGACTTGTCAGGAGGCTCACGATGCCATATCCAAATTTGCACGCGCTTGATGAAAAAATTGGAAAAAATTACAGCCCAGTGACACGAAGTCATGCTTGTCCGCAACCAACGCACTAGAATATCAATTTTACTCTCACCTACACCATCAACATCGTTTATTCGCTCCCCATTCATTTCGACCCTAACGACATTCTAAACCCTGAGTTTTATGCGTCGAGGCAAATTGCCCTTGGTTTGCCTGGCGCTTTGGAAAATGCTGGAAATATGGTGGGTCCAGTAAGTGCAGTCGGCGGCTGCAATACACCCACACTGTGCAAAGTCGTTGATGCAATGTATTTACCCGATTTAATGACATGTACTGTATGTGGCGCATTGTAATGTTCTACGGGCCTAATGTGGCATACATTTTCGTCTTTGTTGAGTGCTTGAAGTCATCTTATAAAAAAAGATAAGGGCTGGTCTGGACGCCACGACATTCTGTCTGAAAACGGCTATTTCGCCAGTTAACAAATTGAATTCGTGTGTCTGGACGCCTCAAAAATCAGGAAAAATCCTCTAGAACTTTCAGGTGATCATGGCAGAAATAAAAAAACGTAAGAAAACATTGATTTGCAGAAATTTGATTCTGTTTGGTTGGAGCATATCTCATGGAGTTTTTACACCTTAAACTTGAGAGTTGGATTTTCATTATCCTTAGAGAATCTACAACGGTATTTTTATTTATTTTACTTCGAACTTACGGATATGGAATAGAACCTCGTGTACTATCAGGTTTATGGCTATTTCACCCGAAATTAGAAATTCTGCTGGACGAAATTTCTAAAAAGTCCGGATAGTGCTAAAATTGCAACCGTAAAAACGAAATTTGACTTTAAACCCTAGTAGTATGTTTTAGCAATAGGTTAGTATTTACCATGAGATGCTCTTTAGTCGAAACTCTATAGATAGATTCAAACATTAGGAAATTTAGTGTTTTGAATTGAAGTCCAAACAGTAAATCATTGATTTGCCGAAATTTCTGAGTTGATAGAAGTATTGCAAATGCGCCAGCCGATCAAACGATACAAATATCTATTTATACAGTTACTACTCGTTTATAAAGTAATTAAATAGCGTAGGTTCAACGTACCTCCGAATATCAATAAACTATGGTACAATACTAACTTTACGTAGTATATCGCGTCAGTCTAACAAATACAAATACTATTAATAGTAGAGTGATTTTGCAAATGGGATTTTTGGAATGAAATGATCGAATGAGACATAAATATAGTCACAAAGAATGACTCTCTGAAATTTGAAACTCTATATAGTTGTAACATAATTCCTGGAACAATATCATGTCACCAAGGGTTTCATTCAATAATCCAATCATATCAATTCTGACATTCTATTGGGCATGAAGTTCGGCAAATCAATCATGCATCGGCAACTCAATGATTGACACGTTACACCGCCGATTTGGTGTGTTTTTTTCAGATACTTGTCCTGGCTCTACATTTGTGATATTCTTGTGATTTTCAGGAAAAATTGGAGGTATCCAGACATTTCACGACGAACATACCACTTTGTCATTTTTATACCTGACTTTGGGAACTTGGAGCAAAAAGATATAAAGTTGTAAGAAGTTTTCTGACGGAATATCACTTGTGCATCCAGACCAGCCGTAACTTTATTTACTGAATAATTCTAAAATATTCATGAAATATAATTCTATAAAAAAATCATTCTATATATAATATATATATATAATTATGTATATGTATTTTTTTATGAAGTTCGTGCGATATCATGATTAACGTTACAGTCGTATTCCAACTCGAAACTACAGGGCTTGGGTCTACTAAGCTGGCCAGTAGATCAACGGCACATATCTGAACAATAACTGTTTCATTGATATAGCACGTGAAAGCTACATCTGTAATGTATGATTGTTCAACAAGTAAGGGTTTTAACATGTAACTAATGTATAAATAGGATTAAAATCCAGCAAAAATAGCTGGAGGTGGAATTAGTTCTCATTCTTACGACGACGGCGATACGACACGACTGTGAATGCCGGCGACGTCAAAACGCCTACGACTTGCATCTTTGTTGTTGGCATTCCTTCGTGGTTTCCCCCAATAGCCAAAGCATACGCCTAGAAACAGCCAAAGTTTAGTGGCCCTTGGCAGATGTGACGTCGTACTGTCCAGACGTGCAAATGCTCTCGACTGGCATGCGATGAAGTGGAGGCCCAGTCATATGGCCATCCCATCATCACGTGGCGATCGCCGAGCTGTTGAGTTGCTCGGAACACATAAATGGCCCCAGTGTCGTCCTATCAAGTCCGCAACATAGAGTAAAAACATATATAGTCCACACATTTGCATTATTTCGAAGGGTGAAGGTAGAAGTAACGTTACGTGGGCAACTTCAGAACCAGTGATCCAGTTCGTATCATGCTGAATGGCTTCAACGGATACAACGTCGCCAATACGTAACGTTGACGTTAACAGTTCAACGCGGGCAACGAGGCTTAGCTGTGAGTCCGCCGAGTGGAGGCGGACGTGAAGGGGGACGTTGCAGCTGTTGTGGGGCATGTGCTGGGGGCAACAGTGAGGGAAACAGCGCATTTCTTTTCGGCCACACGATTTGTTCGTTCTACAGGCAGACGATATTACATCCGAGATTGGCAAGAGGAGTTGAACATAGTACCGAAGGTAGTTGGACGAGAAAAAGCGTCCAGTACAGTCACAAAATGCAAACAGACTTAACACCGGTTCTGAGCCAATCGTGACACTTGAGGGGGGTATCATAGCATCGGGGGCATCGACGGTGATGGTAAATGGAGACGACTGAGCCCATCCCACGATGGCGCCGTCAAGGACGAGGTACGACTAAGCAATAAGTGTCGATCGAGCATGGGTGATTTGTCTTACCTTGAATGTGTATAAAATGATATCCAAAGACGGGTGCACATCAAGCAAGGACGCCGCGGCGGCTACATCCACGTCGAAGAAACACTCGTGCAACTACAACAACCATTCGGTACTGAATTCACATTGTCACTGAATAATCGTGATTACAGGGGGCGTCGAAAGTGTCGAGCTGCTCATTGCTTGGCGTGCGTTTGAGGTCACCACCATGTTGCTTAGCGCGGCTACAGCAACTGGACCGACGTCGAGCCCTCGTTGCTGGGCCACTTGGACATGAGAATAACACTTGAATCTACGACGCTCATGGTCGGTAAACTGTCCAGCAACACGCATGGCCAGGTTGCATTCGCATGGTGAAGACGTTTTGTCATTCGATATGGCACAACACTGGAGGAGACATCGGTGATGCGGTCCTGGCGTCATGTGATCGGAAGAGGGGGGGCTCTGCGTGGATCCCCTCCGGGGGGCTTGCCTACATAGCAGTGTAGTGACGCGATGCATGCTTGAAGTTAGTGTGCACCAGCGATATGTTGACTTGAACGACGCGTTACCACAGGCACAATCGCAAAAAGTGCAGAACACATGATGGCTAATAGTCATGCGAAGTGAATATGGACATCCAAAGGTGGATGGGTGACTGGTCTGTCGAAAAAACATGCATTCTGAAACGGAAAACAAACACTCTACTTGCAGTCTCCCGATATCAACGAAACACGTTTTATAGTGTACAATGGAATATTCATTTATACAGGTCATTTATTATAGAAACAACGAGATTATTTCATATGTTTCGAAGGACCTTGGAAAGATTATCTGGAGGCATTTATACCAAATAAAAGGAAGTCCTGTTTTCACAGGTTTCGCCTGCAAAAAATAAGCCGTATTGTTAAGCGATTCTAGGTGGCCCCAACTCCTACAGGTATGTGATATCCAAGGCCCCTGGATCATCAGGGATCCCGCGTCGAACATACATCGAAATGGCTCATTCGACCAAATCTAGACTTTTCTTGAACGAACGCACAGCTAGCTAGCTATACAGCCCTACCATATCAAGCTTCACTTCAGGGATACCGACGTGAAGTCCCCGACCGGCGAACCCAACTGTTCCCATCGGTTCAGAGCCCCGAGTGTTGGAGTGATTTGGACGAGGGGGCTGGCTTTGGTACAGTGCGTTATTCGAATCTCGTAGATTTCCCATGATTTTTCACTAGTGTTACGTCCACTTGCTCTACGAAGTTACCTGTCAAAGCAACTCAACCGACTTAGACTGGTTGATTTTGTTGGATTTTTTTCTGTATGGGGCTCACAACATATGCGCATTCTTCAGATTTCTTTGTGGCGCTAGTACTACGTATAACCTAGAGGCATCTAATATGCTCAGTATTGGATCTTAACATTCTGAGACTCCATACTCCATAAAATGTTCGTGGTCTATGGTTTCACTGGTGTTATCGTTCCAAGTTCAGGCATGTCATTCCGTTTGAAAGTCAAAAGCTGGTAAAGTACCTGCCAGTAGATTTC